AAAAAAAAAAAATAAAAAAAAAAGGAGTTACGCTCATTCTTAGCACCTACAATAATAAATTTCGTTCTGTGTAATATACTAGCTAATATCAATAATGAAATCATTAATTTCGTAATCCAAACACTTAATTGGGTTATCTTCAATTTCTGTCTATGTTTCAAAGTTGCAAGATTTCTACTCGCCATTAGTAATTTACAGGGAAACTGTTCAGAATTTCTGACTGAGCTCCTCACCGCAATTTTTCAACAGCAAAGCTTAGGACGAATACTGTGCTGTCATATTCTTGTAAGAAAAGTAAATGTTTGAGGTGATTTTACAAACTTGCTTGGGACTAGGATACTTTCTCTCTCCTGGAGGGATGATTTCAAAAATATATGCCCGACTCTGGAGGAATAAAGATACGAATGGAAAACAACCTCAATTGACCCAATTGCTTTTTGATTTTTTCAAAAATTACTTCAGGGAATATTTTTGATATATCGTGCGAACACTGATTCGGCAAGGCACTAAAGTTTCGGCTTTTCTCATCTTCTTCAAACGTTACTACTGAACAGATACTACATGAAGGGGCTGTTTACAAAATAATCGAAATTTTCTGATTCAAACCTTATGTGGCGGGGGGGGGGCATCCAACTATTTTCATTTTTGGGGGAAAAAGCTATTAGTGGTTACGTCCTACTCAAAATATTCTGGAAAAGCAAGTTTTTACCTTGGCGTGGTATATGACGGAATGTGTGACTGGGTCTGGGTTGATCCACCTTCGATTCAAATCCTCGTCTGTTAGCCCGCATCGATGACTGAAAAAAAGAGAAAAATCATAAGCATAATCAAAGATAAAACAAGAGAAACTAATGGCATGCGCAGTCTCTGAAATAAAACAGAAATTGAAGTTCCTAATTCAAATACACGGTACAGTCCAGTTACTCTGTATACTTCGGTGATGAAATCCTTCAATCAATTGGGTAGGCAAATTGCGCGCTATCGAAGCAAGCTGTATTCGGAAAACTTGAAGGAGATTTATCCCTAGTCAAAGATTGATTTTTACTGATCACTTCCTTCCTAGTGAAAAATCATTACTTGCATCCAATGATGCCCTTCATTAACACTAATTAGCAACGATTAGTGTGAATGCGCGTGAAGAAACAGGAATGTAAAAACAAATTGCCACACTTGCTGTCGATAGGTCGACATGTTAATATATCGAAGCCAACGAATAGTCTTGCTGAAAAATTCAGATTTACTTTTACCCGCGCTGCGTCAAAAAAATCAATGAAATCCGTACTTTATCTTTTAATATACGTCATCAGCTGATGCGGTCAAAATCGTGCGGAACCAATTTGGGATCTGGTTCCAGGCCTGGTGATTTCGGTTCCGGTGTCGATTCCGTAAAAATCATGGCTCTTGTCTCGGTTCTTGTCTCGATTTCACCGAGACACTCCAGGGGGTCGATTATTGAAATTGATAGACAAAGCTATAGACAAGGAAGAAACAGATATATGGAGGCATCCTATTGGAGGAAGCGAATGGTTGCAATAGACAAAGGAGGTAGGTAATAGACTTACTAAAGGAAACCCACGGGAGACCCTTTAGTTAGTCCATCATTTTCTCCTTTAGTCAATGAAAACCACCCATTTCAAGCAATAGAATCGTTCCATGCTTCCTATGTCTCTTTTGTCTATCGCTTTTTCTATCGATTCCAATAATCAGCCCGTAGGTTGTAGAATGACAACTTCTTCCCTGTAACTAGTCACAGATGCCGTACACCTGTTCATGCACGTCGCAAGCGTCGCATCCTGTGACAGATTTCTCCGGTCCAGCTTAGCACGCTATCGTCGATATATGCAAAATTTCGCAAATGAAAACTATTGCATCTAAGTGGATAGATATGAAATCGGAAGCGGAACTCTCTAACACTTATGACGGCTGGAGAGCCGACAAAATTTGTATGGTACAATTTTCCGCCTACTACAAGGTTTTTCCTGTTGACTGTTTTTGCGCATCAGTTAGAATGCCCGAATAATTTGTTTCAAATAACTGTCCAAAAGCATCTAAAAATCTAAGAAATTGTATATATGTGTCTAAAATCAACGTATTTTACACACAAAAAAATCCCTTGAAAATCTGCGAATAAAGCGCAATTTTTGAACCTCTATCACGTTGGACAACCGGAATGTTTGACGAATACAAAGCCGTTATTCGAAATTATTCCAAGTCGACAATACCTAAATTTTCCCCAAAACGAGGAGTCAAGTAAATGTTGAGGTATAACTCTTCAACCCGACAGCTTTGAGGTAGATCTTCAACTTTAGTACAACGCATTCTGGTTGTGGCTTATATATTTTAAATTTTAACCATTTGGTGGATTATATAGTTCCGGGGTTCGAAACTTATTGGATTCATTTCTCCCACCCAGTAACCGTCAAAAGTTCCGGGATTCTTTTCAGACTTGTTCAAACGTTCCGAGAAAGTTCCGGAAAATACAAAAGATCCGAACTATTTCGGGAATTTGAAAGGTCCCGGGAAAAATTGAGGAAAATTTCAAAAGTTCCGGAATCGGGTACTGGTGCTTTCCGGGAAATAGGAATTTCCCGGAAAGCACTGATAGAGAGCTTCGGTGATACTTGGACGGCCCCCACGTTATATCACAGCTCTTTTGACGTAAGGGCGTATCTCAATTTACACGTGAGCCCTGTTCTCCATGTGACTCTATGCTTTGCCAGGGCTTAAGTGCAAATAGAGATATACGCTCTTACGTTGGAGAGGCGACGATATGCAACAAACGAGAGCAATATTGATATTGAATGAGGAAACCGATTTTAGAAATCGCTTTTAAAGAACACGGCTAGACAAGACTAGGATATGACCTCCAGGCAGGAGTAGAAATTAGAGTGCCCAAATCCGATTTCCCCTTATCCAAATTGGACGTACTTCTGTCAAACGGAACTTTGTGCATTAAGACATGAGACCGAGGACCCACAAGAATACATGCATAACAGGGCTCACGTCATAATGCACACAGCTCCGTTTGTTAGAAATACGTAATAAACTACAAAAACCCTCAAAAACATTTTCGGGCAAAAAATCCGGTCGAGGAAATTGACGTGTTACATCTTATTAACCAAAAAAATTCCCTTTCACCCCTCCAAGAAGGTTGATAAAACTAAGTAAGTAACTATGAGATGGCAAAAAGCTCTCTTAAATTCTCAGGGTCCATCAAGGCCACATATGTCCAAAAACTTACTCTATATGGTTTAAAAAAAAGAAACAAAAAATAATCCCTTAACAATAAGAAAATTTAAAAAAAAAA